CATGACCCTGGGATCATGATCTGAGCCAAAATCAAGAGTCAGATTCTCGACTGAGCCACCCAGGTACCACTAGAACTTCATTTTAAATAAGGGGTAGGAAGATCTTATATTTCGGGGAAAATTAAAGGTAAGATGGATTTAAAGAATTCTTACAATTAACCTCACGCAACACATGTTTTTCAAAAAGGCAGTGAAAGTCTGTTTGCTTTTCCATGTGACCCAAATAAATCTTTCTTCTCCAAATCCATACAAAAATCATTAGATACCACTCAGCAATAAAAAGGAATGAACCACTGACACATACAGAACGTGGATGAATCTCAAGGCATTGTGGTAGGTGAGAGAAGCCAGACAACAAAAGACCAAATTGTATATAATTCCATTGATATGAAATCCAAAAAAGGTGAAACTACAAGGAAAGAACGTATCAGCGGTTGGCAGGGGTAGGAGATTGACTGCAAGGGGCGTGAGGCTCATTTTCAGGGATAAAAGAAATATTTTTAAATACAATAGTCAAAAGTAGTCAGATTATACACAATCAAATTACCTATTTTAGGTGTACAAACTATACCTCAATAAAAATGGTATTGGTACGAAAAGTAAGATAATCTCAACAAATCTACATGATAAATAAGATGATATTCAGCTCAAATGTGCAAACTCAGTCCCAGGACTAGAAACACACCGCTGTCTGCATGAGCTGTGACAAAGCCACAGCAGAGTCCAGTCCTAACACTCTGCTGGTCCTCATAAGCTCTAAAGGGCTTCAGGCAGAAATACTACCCAAGAATTGCAGGGGGACCCATCTTCTGGAAACATGTCTCTTTGGGCAGTTTATGGGAGGTCAGAGATGATGATGTGAAATGTTTGCTTTGGGGGCACAGATTTCAAACCCCCGTTGGACTTTTGTCCTAGGAAATGAGCACTTGGATTTTCATCATATCGTCCCCCAAATCGCCACGATCATCTAGAGTATGGCCCCCGATATCAGTGGGGATGAGGTTTCATGCAGAAGTTCTCCAGTTCCGGAGACGGAAAGGTACTGGGGCATTTCCTCAGGGTGTGGCCGGGAAGTCTGAGCCTTGGAAGTCCCCTAGGTCCATTGTTTTATTTGCAGCTCAGTCATAAGTCACCCAAGGGACTTTTCCTTTTACAGTGCCGTGTAAATCACTCCACACAACTGTCATCTCTCCACCCGCAACCTCCCAAACAGAATTGCAAGTGACATGTTGATTTTTGCTTTGAGTTCCATCGTTACGTTAGCTAGCTTTCAGAAGGAATGTCTGGCATGTCACCCGCTTTCAAGCTCACTTATGATAGAAACTGAAGCACTGGCTGTTAACATGCCAGCAATAGACAGGACTGTTGGACTCCATTCCCTGCCCTTAATCTCCCCCAGATAGTTCTAATTATGTCAGCATTTGCAGAAAAATTTTACATATAAAA